AAGTTATATTTCTGCTTTTTACTGCAAGTAAAATTAGATATTTGCAAGTGGTAGTCCAATTATCATTTCATTGTAATCTATGGTAATGCATCGGATGTAAATGGAGCAGAAAATACACTTACTGTCAAATGCTGAGTTCATTACCCATTGGACCCTTTATTTTTTTTTACCCCAGAGGAATGCATGAGGAATCACCCAAGCTCTAAGGAGGTCGAGATTGAGAAAGCGCTCGGAGAATATCTTAAAAGAACTCCAAACCTTCCAGGCGGAAAGAATTTCAAAGTACATGTAAGTTGGTTTCTGCAAACTTGAGGTTTTTTTTAATGAGCTTTCTTTTAAGTTTTCCTTTGTTATTCAATTTCTTTGTATATGGATGCGCTGTATGAAGAAGAATGAGTTACAAACTTACATGAAAACGGTGTTTGAACATGTGGTTTGACATGTTACAAAGAATTATCAACTCGCTAATGCTTTTCAATTTAATAAGTTAGTAGGGATTATGGTTCTGAGTGGAACTTATCTTTTGGTATACATTTGTGGCATGTTACAAATTCCAATTTGATGCTTAAAGAATTTGTGACCTGTTTTTAATGACATATGAGCTTCTAATGTTTTGTTTCCACTGAGAACTTTTGTAAACAAGCATCAGTTTCTGCTAGCCACACCTAAGCAAAATTCACTTCGCAATCAACATTTAAAAAAAATTACATGATCAACAATTGGACAGTGTGTTTTAAGCCTAAGTGAACATGTAAAAAACAAGTAATTAGTGCAGTTTGGCTGTAAATTCAGTGTTTTTATCTTGTTCCGTGGAGTGATTTGTAGAAGGAACCCTCGAACCTTTTTGTTTTGAAATTGTTTTACTTTTTTGAAACCTGGAAATGATGCAGCAGGTCCATCTGAGGATCCATCTGAGGACAAGGACGGAGATCAGGATGATCAGTAGCGACACTACAACAACAACAAGGATGACCAACGGGTATTAAACAGCATGTTCAAATGGAATATACATCATATGCAAACATAAAATACAAAAGCATGTTATAAACAAAAATACCTTACTGGACTGTTAACGAACAGCATTCTGTACAATCTAAAGCATTATGTACAATCATGGCACCTGGTGTGCAGACTTTTTTTTAAGAATTTGAGTATAAATTTCCAATGCTGGTCGGCCGACCGTCAATCCATTTTTTTTTTATACTGCCCCAATTTACCATATAGTTCGGCTGAATTTACTTTGCAATTGATAACACACCTATGAGCGGATACCAGTGAGCTAGACTGGTTTCTTGACCTTACATTTCCCTGACGTCAATTTTTTTACAGATTTTTCCAGCATTCCAGTTGTATATTCAATTTAACACCAGTCAAGCACATTCATTCCTGCTCATGGATACCTTTTCGGTATAATTTTAAAAACTTTTTCAAATTTTCGTTTTGCTATTTTCAAGTGTATTTAGGTAAAATTTGTATTAAAATACATGTATATATTCTTTTCATGAGATAAAAGTGTGATGGCATTTCAGGCAGAAAAACTTGAATGTTACAGCTCTGTTTTCAAACAAAGAAATGCTCAAACTTAGGATACTGTATTTTATTAATTTTTGTTTTCCACATTAAGCCAATGAGCGAACTTTTCTCGCAGATGTGTTTAATGAGAGCATTTCTGAGTTCAATGGTTCTTGTATTACATGTACATCACATTAACATCTTAAAAAATAATAACTTTCTGAATAACTGCTTTGTAATATCTACAGGTACGTCCTATAACTCCATGAAACCTCAAGTTGAGGACCAAGAATAAAACTGATGGACCACAGTATCATCTAATGTCCTTGTCTTGTGTGCTTTATTTCGCTTATTTTAAGTATCGAAATTACATTTCAGAATAGTTTAGGAAATTGTGGAAGGCGGATTTGTTTTTGGGGGGATAGATTTCTTTGGATAGAGTGTAGTTGTAAAACTGAAAAATTTAAATGCTGCAAAAACAAATCCACTATAACTCCTGCACACCCACTGAAAAAAAAATATCAGTCCATGATAAAGGCTTTTTGTGCTACCAAGAGGAACAATAATTAATTTAAAACGTGATTAAAGAAAGTTTATTCTGAGGTTTTGGTAGTAAAAAAAACGTTAATAGAACGTTCATGGCACGTCGGTTGTTTGAACGTCGAAAACGTTTTATGTAGGTCCTTCTTACGTTTTTATTGACAAGTAGTAAGTTTTAAATAGGTTTTGTACGATCCAGAAACGTTCTTCGAACGTTTATGGCACGTCGGCGGGTTGTTTGAACGTCCAAAACGTTTTATGTAGGTCCTCGTTACGTCTTTAAAAACTCGTAGTACCTTTTTAATACGTTTTGTACGTTCCACAAACGTTCTTAGAACGTATATGTCACGTCAGTTGGTTGTTTGAACGTCCAAAACGTTTTATGTAGGTCCTCGTACGTCTTTAATAACTAGTAGTACGTTTTTAATACGTTTTGTACGTTCCACAAACGTTCTTAGAACGTATATGTCACGTCAGTTGGTTGTCTGAACGTCCAAAACGTTTTATGTAGGTAATTTTGACGTCTTTAGTAACTAGTTTTAAGTTTTAAATACGTTTTGTACGTTCAAAAACGTTCTAAGAACGTCTTAAAAAAAATGTTTTTAAAATGTCCAAAAGTGTCCACAAATGGCCGTTTTTAAAACGTTTATTCAAAACGTTCTCAAAACGAAAGAGGCACGTTCAAAAAACGTTCAGAAAACGTAAAATTGTTTGCTGGGAGAGTACACTGTAGATCACCAAAGAGTACATTAGGCCTAGTACAGTGTTGTTTTCAAGTTTTCTTAGAAGTCTTACATGTATATGCTAATTTTGACCTTTCTTTGTTTACACTGCGTGATTTGCATAAAGTCTACTTATTTGCATGCGACCTTTAATGCTCTGCACCTTTGACCCGAAGAAGTGATTTGCATACGAAGCATGCTTTCGCAAAGGATTTTGGGGCGATTTTGTACATGTGCTCACTGAAAATTGGAGTAGTACAAGATGCACGTCTGAAACCATCTTTTACCTAACGTTTACGCTATCGCTAAGACTTGAAAGAATCCTACGATAATGGAGATAAGATTTGTAGTTCTTTACTTGAAGATCTGTTGTGTTGATTAAATGATAGTTTCCATCAATCTGCTGAATCTCGTGTGGAACTGTGATTACTGTTGACTTGAGAAATTATTGATGCCGATAGATCTCGCTCAGGGTCTGAACGCGTGAAACAAGTGAAACTGTGAGTAAAGTAAAGAATTGATAGCGACGTTTGAGTTTGAAAGACATGAAACCATAGATGTACAAAGTGAACATTACACCTAGTACATGTACGCAATCTTCAGAGGATTTGCATGTAACTGTCAATGCATCAGCTGTGGGAGTACCAGCATCCGGATCCTCATCTTCAGAGGATTTGCATATGTAGCTGACAATGCACCAGCTGTGGGAGTAACTAAAATAGCCAACAGCAAAATTTGAAGTGTTTTCTGTACATTTTATGTAACGTTTGTAATGGCGTCTTTCAGTACATTAATTAATTGGTCATTTCTCTATAATCCAAAGTCCTGGTCCAAATAGGTCGATATTTCAAGTGTTGGGCTCCCTGACTAATGCCAACGCATAACACATATCACAAGTTACCAACCTCATAAATGTTGTTTATAGCACAAACAGGACACCTTGTTACGAATGTTACATTTGAATTTAAAAAAAAAAATTTACCATGAAAACTGTACTTTTAGTTGAGAAACTATCTCTATACTTTTAAATTGCTTCCTACACATATCATAGATTAAAATAAACACATAAATTTTACTGTTTTTTGAACTCAATTTTTTGAGATGCCTGTCACACTTTAGTGACCCAGTATCATATATGTGACCCGCTCCGGGAAAAGGTGACATAAGTCGCGCTATGCATTAACGTGTAATGGGCCGCTCAACGTTGAGCGGGTGAAAACATTCTTTAAAATATGATTTTCGTTGTTTTGTCCTGATGATATCTTTAATATGTAAAGTTTCAGATTTTATTCACAGAAATGTTGATTTCATTAAATAAAGTGAAAAAAAACCTGTAAATTTGAGTGCATTGTTCCCTTGCTTTGTCTTAGTTTTGTAACGTGAAACAAGAAAATTGCCCTGTTTTCCCCCTTCTTTTGCGATGTCTTGATTAACCCCCCTAGACAAATTTTGGTATGGTCTTAAAGCTTGACGTGCACTCATTCCAAATTTGGTCATACTGGAGGACATAGGTCAAATGCAAATAAGTATTGAACGGAAGAAAGTGGTAAACAAACTACCCTTGTTGCTACGGATGACGTAGTTATTGGATCACGTGTACAGAATAAAGGACCATAATTGGACAAGACACCTGAGACTGGCTTTTGAGCATGCACACAGTAGACAAGAAGACGTGGCCGCGTGTGCTATACATGCATGCTGTGTGCAAAATTCAGCGACATTTTGCCAGCTCGATCATCGACCATGAATTTCAACTCAATAATCTTACGATATTTTCTAGCAATTCCTACAACTTTTAGCTCAGTATTTGTAAGAAAGACCCCAATACTTTTTTTAAGTCATGCATATCAGGTCAGCATGGAATGGATCAATTTATTTGATAATAAATGAAAAAAGCAGCATTATTATGTATAAAAAGTAAACATTTATTTCACTACAACAGGAGAAAAGGACATGCTCATCTTGGGACAGATTTGTTCTGCTGCTAACAACGGCGAGCTAACGTTACGATGTCCTCACGGAGAGGGGAGCAGACAGAACGACAGCGGCAAAGATCTACATGTACATTCATGTTCCATGGGCAGCCTGTTTGTACAACTACCTTCCTGTTCCTTCACAAGTGAGTACTGTATATTCATTGGCGCAGAACGATAACATGACCGGGCAACCCGTCCCACTCACCCCTCACATGGGCGCGTCGTACAACTTCGCATTGGGTGCTATGAGTCCCTTGGGTGTTAAAACATCATGTCCCACATGTAATTTTTTTCCCCTTAAAATGAGCCATGAATAATTATTATTTGCTATATTTTTTGTAGCATGAGCAGAAAGAAATTATCAGCTCTGCAGAAACATTACAGGGAGAATGGCTGCACGCCTAGGTCTCACGGCAACAGTGGCAGAGTCGTTCCTCACCACCTCAGCTATGACGACAACACCAGGGTGAAACACTTCATCTCCAACTATGCCGAGACGTATGCCATCCTCCTTCCCGGTCGCATTCCCAGATTCAAGCGGGATGACATAAAGCTATTGCCGTCATGCGAGACGAAGGGCAATGTATGGAGGAAGTACAAGCAGGCCATGGAGTTATCAGGTAAAAACAAATCTACGCTGTCAAAAAACTTATCATCTGACTGTTTGTTTCCCCTTGGTTTTCATGATTGAAATGTGAGCCAAAAATGTTTCTTAATGATTTGTTTCATTTTAGTTATTTTTTTTGTTTTTTAATAGATGCCAGGGTAGTAGCACAGACAGCATTCAGAAAAATCTGGAATGTTGTTTGCCCGTTTGTTGTCTGCTGCAAACCCATGTTGGACGTCTGCTGGCAGTGTAAAAAAAACAACAGTCTCTTGTACAAGTCAGCCAACCTTCCTGATGCAGAAAAGCAGGATAGATGTAAGAGGCAGCAGGAACACCTCGCCAATGTGGCCTTGGAGAGGTCCTTCTACAGGGAGCTCGTGAAGGGGTCCAAGGAAACAGCAGAGCAGCAAGGAGTGATGCATCTTGGACTGAACAATCCATGCAGCAGACCCGTCGAGATGCATTACTCCTTCGACTTTGCACAACAGATGCACTTTCCTTCGGACCCTATGCAGCCTGGGCCCATATACTTCCTTAGACCAAGGAAGTTAGGAATTCTTGGCGTCCACTGCGAGGGAGTTACCCAGCAAGTTAACTACCTGGTTGACGAGTCTGTTGTGATCTCAAAAGGAAGCAGCGCAGTCATTAGCTTTGTACACCACTTCTTCAGGCAGTATGGGTTGGGTGAATCCAATGCTCATCTTCACTGTGACAACTGCAGTGGCCAAAACAAGAACCGCTTCAGGCTGTGGTACTTGCTTTGGCGCTGCAGTTGTGGCCTCCACAGATCCATCCAGCTTCACTTTATGGTCGTTGGTCACACGGCTTGTTCAAGCAGCGGTACCGTCGCACACAAGTGAGTTGCTTGGGTGATGTCCATAAGGTCGTCACTGCTAGTACACCGTCAGGCATAAACATCCCACAGCTGGTGGGAGATGAAGATGGCAATGTGATTGTTCCCCAGTATGCGTGGAATGAGTTTCTCACACCATTCTTCCAGCCACTTGTAGGAATAAAGAGCTTCTTGCATTTCCGGTAAAATAATGTTATTTTTATTTTGCATAATTTTGGTTCATTTGTGAATGTCAGATATTCCAGTGATCAAACTTAAACATTTTTCAGAGTTCTTGTGTCATTGTAAACATGAATGATTTATTTTTGATTTTTTTTATATTCCTTTTGCTCTTCATAGCTTTACTTCTGATGAGCCAGGCGTCGTGTACGCAAAGAAGTGCCTTGGTGATCCAGAGATCAGCTTCCAGCTACTGAAATCTCATGCGAGGCCCAGACCCGACCTGCCTGAACCACAGAATCCTCCTGGCCTGGATGCAGCCCGTCAATGGTACCTGTATGAGAAGATACGGGAGTTTTGCAGCGTAGTCACCAAGGACACCACATGCCCCTTGCCCAATATTCCAAAGCCTTAATGTACATTCCCACCAAGTCACATGTACATGTACAGTCAAACCTGTCATTGCCGCCACCTTACTATAGTGGCCACTTGGCTAAACTGGCCGCCTTTGCTTGGTCCCAGTTTGATTCTTACATACATTTACTGTAACCACGTCTTGCTTTGCGGCCAGGGTGTAATGCGGCCAGTGGCCAACCCACAGCAAATCTCCTGTGTACAATTACATTGCCATGACACCTGTGTACGCTGGCCTCAAAAATGAAGTCTGTCCTCTATTAGTTTCGAAATGCCCCGTACAATTGTAGTTTGGTTCCCAGGCCTTACTTGTGTTTAATACAAATGGCAACGAGTGCACAAGCTAAAAAAGCATTCGCTTGATAAAGAAATAACCACAAAGTCTTTGTTTCAGATTGATACCTGTTTTTGATTAGTGTTGTTGTTCATGTGGAGGGTTAAATGGCATGTCTTGACATGGGCACACATAGGTGTACACATGTGTATTACAGTAATAATTTTTTATACATGTGCATGTAAAGCCTTGCTATAGTGGCCACCTACATGTACTCATAGTGGCCACGTACAGCCGGTACCATTGATGACCACTGTAGCAAGGTTCGAATGTACAAACAGACATTTTCTTTATAATTCCTTGAATTTAAACACTAAATGCATGTGCTTCCTAATTCCAGGAGAAGAGTAAGATCAATACATTTTTTGATTTTGTGCTGTTACTTAAACTTGTTTTTGTTTTCATTTAGATATCAGAACAATGCTGCAAATGTAATGAAATTCAAAACTTTTAATAGCAGTAATTAAGCCCCAACCCCCCCCCCCTCCCCCGAGCAAACCACCCCACCCCCACATCCACATGCCCCTGTTCCCTCTTCAGCTATTTTTGGCAAGGGGAATGGTAGAAAATTAACACGGATGGTATTTTGTCCTTTAAAAAAAAATTTGCCTGGGAGGAGTGTATATTATTGATGGCATGGCACTGTTACAGCAATTGAATGTAAACAAGCTACCAGGAGATCTAACATTTCTCAACCTTGCTCTTGTCATCTTGAGACGTCTGGTTAACAGGGCAAAACATAACAAGTCCCAAGAAATTCACTTTGTGACAGACACATACAGGCAGATCTCAATTAAGAATGCTGAGAGGGCAAAGAGAGCAGCTAGTGGATCCCAGGTGATGAGAATACATGGTCAGTCCCTTCCCCAGCAATGGAAGAAGTTTTTGTCTAATGGACAGAACAAGGAATCTCTCGTAGAATATCTGGATGAAACATGGGCTACAGTTCCGACAGTACCTGTAGTGGATGTAAACAACAGTGTACATTGTACTCTACAAATGTACATGTACATGTAGGTAAACTGTGAATGTGGCTTAGCCAATAGCTTGACTTATTTTCCTAACGCTTTTGAATAAAGCCCACAGTGGAGTTCTTTCTGGACGCATTACGACAGAAGTGTGAGAATCCACAAAATTGTCAGTGATGCTATGCAACGTCTCAGATGCCATTCTTTTCTGATGACCCTCAGAGCCGAGGAGCAAACAGAAGCATCTGATGTACAATAACAGGAAATGCCTGCATCATTTCTAAGCACACAATACATGTACAATGATAATATCAGAAACAGCCAGTACTGCACACTTTTGTCGAAGCGTGCTTCAATCATCCAGTCACAGTCATCAAGGCCTACTTTTTGTATTCTGGTCTTAATACTGTACATGGTGCGAGACTTTCTAGTTTTCATTCGTACAACAAAAGAGGGGGATTAGCTGCTTCACTAGTCCGCTGTTTAGTCACCAATTTCATGGTTCTTCACCTATGATAAAATAAACTACTCCAGATATCTCCCAGCATATGGGTTAGAAATGCACAGCATGCCAACAGCTCATCCAGAAGTCCACGCTGCCCTGTGCACATGCATGTTGTGGCATTTACGTTTTCCCAAACTTTCCATCTTGGTGTGCCTGGATTTGGATCTGACCCATGTTCTGACCATGTCCTCCAAACAAAGTGTGCCAGAAGGGACGTTCCTAAGATTGCAAATTTCGAGCTTTGGCTATGAAACTGCTGAAGCTGATGGCCGGGAAAATTTGGTGCAACGTTTGCCACAAATATATGGATAAATAAGAAACAATGGCAGGATCCGCAGCAAAGCACTGAGGGACATCGAGACTTACGTCAAAGGTTCAGTTTTGTTACATTGCAGGTACAATAGTTCATCAGTGTATGCATGCAAAGAAAATTCAAAGAAATTTTTGAAGGTAAAATAGCTTCTTGGCTGTTTGCCAGACTATCCGTGCTTTCTTAGAAAAATGTCACTGAAATGATTCCGAAATATGCACATGCGTGGTGACTGATCATAAAGGTGTGACACAAAATGGTTGATAATAATTAATATGACGTGTGATCTTCTATTCCACACAGGTTGCAACAACAGTGCTGTCAGCTGAGAAGAATGTTAGCGCCTCTATCGTCCATCCAATTATCAGAAGTTTGTTGAGGAACCACATGGAGCCTCTTGAAGCCGACTCTGCACCTATTACTGAGTTCAAGAAAGTAGTGGCCAGGGATCTCAAGCATAGAGTCTGCTCTGAGGGTGAGGAGGCCCTGACCAGGCCTCCTATGTTGGCATCGGTACTGGATGGATCCACTGTACAAGCATCTTTCCTTTGTGGACGAAGACTACCAAGATCGTCCCTTCTGTGCTGTCAAGGAAGAAATGGCAGCAATTATTTCGGCCATACAGGAGCAGAAAGAATCACCAGGAAGATCTCGCCGCTCAGCAGTCACGAGTCAAACTACTGTCAACTGGTATGAAGGATCACTCGGTCATGATGAACGAGGGCAACTTTGACGATACCGGTCTGATTTTGCTCATGGTGCTGGTACAGCTTCAGTGTAGATACCAACAAAGATGAGAAGCTTTGGAGGACGTCAGGATTTGACGATTACGGCACTTTCGCCGTTGGAGAATGCGACGCAGGGCGCTGTTCCTGAGGAGACGGTATGCAATGCTGGTGTTGATGCTGGCCGTCACCATTGCAGAGGAACAGAACCCGACTGACAGAACGGTTTGGACGAAGCCAAGGACGTCAGCAGTGACGAGATGGTCCGCAACCTGACCGATGAAGAGTGGAAGGAACAGGAGGACCTTCTGGTTTTTGTGCAACAGGTTGCAACTTGTATTGGCCAAGAAAAATACACCATACATTGTGTGTTGCAAGCCAATGTCAGATGTTTGTTGGGTTTGCCAAAGAAATAACAGTTTGTTGTATTGGTCTGCGAACATGTCTGATGAAGCCAAACAGCAACGATGCAAAGATCAGCAGGACCACCTGACTTATGTGACTACTGAGCGTAATCTGTATAGGGAGCTCGTGGAGGCTGCAAAAACCACAGCGGAGCAGCAAGGAGTGGTCGGTCTAGGGCCAAACATTGCCTGCAGTCGCAAGATGTCGATGCATCACTCATTTGATTTTGCCCAGCAAATTCATTATCCCTCAGATCCCATGCAGCCAGGTCCAGTTTATTTTCTAACACCCCGGAAACTTGGAATCTTTTGAGTTCACTGCGAAGGGATCCCGCAACAAGTCAACTATCTAGTAGACGAGGGTGTCACCATCAGCAAGGGCAGTAATGCTGTTTTGAGCTTTCTGCATCATTTCTTTGGCCACTATGCACTCGGGGAAACTGCTGTCCATCTCCATTGTGACAACTGTACAGGACAGAATAAGAACAAGTTCATGTTATGGTATCTGGTGTGACGATGCTTGTGGGGTTTCCATCAGTCGATCACTTTGCATTTCATGGTTGTTGGGCACACCAAATTTGCCCCTGGTTGGTGTTTTGGGCTTGTTAAGCAGCGTTTCCGACGAACACCAGTCTCCTGCCTGGATGATGTTGTCGATGTCGTGAAGAACAGCACCAAAACTCGAGTTAACATTCCTCAGCTAGTGGGCAATGAGGCAGGCAACGTATACGTCCGGCAGTACAACTGGCAGGAGTTCCTGACCCCCTTTTTCAAGCCACTTCATGGAATTAAGAGCTTCAGACACTTTCGGTAATCTACATGTTTTATGGTCACCAAACCCAAGCTTTTGTATAGCAAGACAATGAAAGCTGTGCTTCAATTTCACGTTATCAAGAATATTTTCATAAGAAGTTTGATTTCTTTTGTTAGTAACATTGTAAGAAATGAACAGGTCTTATAATAGTATGAAAGGTTCTGCTGAGGTTGGTTGATATTCTCCATTTTAGAGTGTTGACATAACATGTATTTGTTTTTATGTATTTGTTTCTCCCCTTTAGGTGTTCTTCTGATGAGCCGGGTGTTGTTTATGCACGGACCTCCTTGGGTGATCCCGAAGTCCCCTTTCAGCTCCTGAAGGACACTGGACGGCGTCACCAAGCTGACTGCCCAGAGCCAGAGACTCCCCCTGGACTGGACCCTAGGCGGCAGTGGTATCTCTTTGACAAAATCAGAGAGTTCTGCTCAGAGTTAGGACATAATAATTGGAGATGTTAGAGTAGAGGAACAAACCAAGTTTAACAGGGTAAAGACTTGCTCCGTAGTTT